ACATTTTCCTGATGCTCCTGTAAGATCTCTTATGTTTCTGAAATTTAAATAAAGGTCTTGGTACTTTGATGAAGTTTCGGAAATTCCCTCAGTTTCTTGGATCTTCTTAAACATTCTTCAATTTGCATGATTTTTTTTAAATTTATTTATTTATTTTTTCCATTTCTGAAGTACTCTCAATTCAACTACCCTGAACTAAATAGAACTGTCAAAAAATTCTCTTTCTGAATTTTATTGAATTGACCGGGATTTATCGGAGCTTACGCATACAAATCTTCGAACTTCCCTGAAAGTCTGGAATTTCTTAAATTTCTCGACGTTATGAAGTTATTGGAAGTGCCTTTAATATCTCTGAAACTTCCTAAAGCTCTCTAGTTTAACTTCTTTGAGCTACTTGGAAGTTCTTTAAAATGTCAATTATATATAATTATTTTGACTTCCCTAAATTTCTCACATTTTCTTAAAAGTTCCTGCAGTTTCCTGAAGCTTTTGGAACTACTTTAAAAATCCTGAAGTTTGCCTGAAGTTCACAAAAAAATTCCCGCAGTTTGCCTATGAAACTTTTCTGATGATGTTCCTGGAATTGTTCAGAAATTAATGGAATTGCCCAGAAGATTTTTAAATTTCCCTTTAAACATGGATCTTCTGTGTAGTTTTCTCAATGTTTTTAAGTTCATTCCCTGAAGTTTTTTTTTACTGTAATTGTAATTGTTCAGTGCATAGGCTGTGCCTTCCGCTAAGAAGGCTTATCTAGAGACCAACCCCCTAGTCTATACACCTACTGTCCTTCCCGTTGCACTCGTCAGCTCGTGCGATACTCTAAACACACATGGGTGGTCGTATCCGGGTCCTCCCCTGGGTAGGCTCGTGTCCATCCAGGTTCTGGTACATTAACTTATCTATATGCATGGTAATTATACTTTTAAAACTCACCTTTTGATTATAATGTCGAAAATGCTGAAACTAAATAAAGGTTAGCAATCCATATAAGGTGTGTGCTGCGAATTGAAGGAAATGAGGTTCAGATGTGAAGTATAGGTAATTCTAAAATAGGTAAATAAATTAATCATTAGCTGCTAACAGTTACTAATAAATGGGTACGATAAATCACTCATCAATGAGTATTGCCACTCCCACTGAAAAATCGGCAAAACCTTTATCATAAATGGATATTCGATTCCTACCGTGTATTTAAAGTAAAGTAAGGATCTTATCAAGCAAGCACACACCTTTTACGATTCTTATCCTACTTACGGTTTCCTGCACATACGACTTTTCCTAGATACAAGCTTCGTCCAGTATACATTGGCTGTCTCCAACCGGCATGATCCTTTCTGTCTGCTTCCTCTTGCCGGTGCAAGTTTAATTCTTCTTTTCTTGTTCGAATTTTCTTTTTCTCCTATTGATCTTCTGGTCGTGTTCCCATTTGTCCTCAGGCAGTTAATATTAGTACATGATAGGAAGAAAGAAAGAAATAAAACAAGTTAAGTGTGAGCCGCATGCATTGGTTACTTATTTGGGTCATGGTGTTGTCTTCCCTATTTATTTGCCTCTATTCGCTCTCATATCGCAACGTTTAACTCTGGATCAACAATAGAAAAGGGCCCACCAGCATTTGTAAACAAACCGCTCCAAAGCCCCCCACTCACAAAGCGAAGGCCACCCACGCAAACCAACACCATCATCGGATAGGGGAAACTTCCACCTACACGAAGATGGTGTTGGTCTGCGTGAGCAGCCCCCGATCCGCGAGGAACGGGCCTTGGACGGCCTGCCCACAAACGCCGATGGGCCCCCCTCCATTGTTGATCCAGAACTCACCCCCTTCCCTCACACTATTATGGTCGGAAAAGAGAACCCAAATTTAGGAATCTATCGCGAACTGCGATGCAGAAGATATTAATAGCAAACTAATCTGGAACTGGTCTAAGACATATGGTCCAGTGAGTATTGACACCTCACACTGTTGTGAATGAGCACGGACGCGAGATTTACTAGAGTATTAAATGCAAAACGCAAATTCAAAATAAAACTTGACAAGTCATCGTCAATCCCCTTATTCTTGGGCAGGGTCTGACGATGTGAATCTGATTTTGATCAGTGAACGGGCCCCATATGGTACATTTTCTCACTATGAACATGTCATTTCCAGCCTATCTGAACTATTTAATAAATGGAAACCAACATGGGTTACGCTTCCCCTAAGCGGGCCCTCCGCATCCTATCTCTGTCTTATCTCAAATGCCAATGGTTTGAATGTATCAATATATACATTGGAAATGAAGTTCAATCAAATAAACCCATACCCCACTCACTTGGCCAGGCTTCAGAATCGTCCAGTGGGCAGTGCGCTCTACACTCCAAGTTCCCTTTCTTTCAAATTCACCCCAAATTTGATATTTTACCCCTTTGAGTGTTGATTAATCACAATGAAACATTGTGACAGAGCACGGACTTGAGGTTACTAGAGTATTAAATAATATAGGTCCTATTTAGGATTATATCTGAAAAATCCAAATTTGGCCAACGCCCACCATTCCCTGAAGTTTTTTTTACTATCCTTAAATTTTCGGAACTTCTTGATAATTTCCTCTATTTTACTGAAATAAATTAAACTGCCATAAAGTTCTCGAAACGAACCTAAAGTTTAAGGAACGTCCCTTAAGTTCTCACAGTTTTCCTGATATTCATGGAACTGCCCTGACATTTTCAGAACTTACCCAAAGTTCACGTAAGTTACTCATAGGTCTTCAAACTTAAATTTTCCTGAATTTAATGGACAGTTTCGGGACCACCAGTGTCCCAGATTCAAATTCATTCATGCAGCATCACAACAAGTGATTTAAAAAAAATCGCTGGGCTATTCGGACTTCCAGAGGACCATTTCTTGAGTACGTGGGCATGTTAGAGCTTAACCTTCAATTTGAAGTATTCGTGGTTAGGTATATCAATATTGTTGAAAAAACAATCACGAAACTCTGTGATCAATTTCAGTTCGAAGTTCAGTTTAGCGAAAGCCGAAAACGTAAATTCACAACCGCAATAGCAATAACAAGTTGCTAACTAAAATAGCAATGGCTAAAAGTTGTCTGCATTAAAAACGGAACCGAAACCCAAAATCTCATTAATTTTGGTACAGTGGAACTATTTTAAGTAAATGCGATTACATTGGCAAAAATCACCATCTTAGCGCCTCTCGGTGGGACTTTGTATGCACTGAACGAAAACATCCGCAATAATTCGAATGATTATTGTATTGCTCGAGCCCTTTAACAATATGCTGTCGAATTTCAGAAGATTGCCTTACGGTTGAATTCGTCATCAATAGATGAGCATTAGAGTGATGCAAAATTTGAAATTTTCGCTCCACAATACTTAAACGATTCCAAATCGGATCCTGACTTACCTCTCAAAATTTGAACCCATTTGGTGAGAAACTGAGATCGCACAAACCATTTAAAGTTTGTATGGGAATTACTATGGTTAAACCAAGATTTTTGTTCATGTCTATCTAATAATTCACCATATCGGTCTGCTTCAAAAGCTTTCAATTGTACTTTTAGGAAATTTTCCCAGCTACAACTTTGCATAAGATCACTTTTTGATTAAATGCAAGGATCGAAAGTTATCAATGGTTCCATGCGCTGATGTCTTATGATCATGCTCAATCAGCTGCTCAGCAGGCAACATTGGTGTTTCTGGGGCGTTGAATAGGACACAAAAATCATGGCGACTATGTCACACTGCAAAATACAGTGTTGCCTACAGAGCAGCTGCTTGATCATGTCATAAGTTAACAAATCTCTTAAATAATTACTAACTTTTTCCTGTCTCGTTTTACATAGAAACGATCTTCAGCAAAGTTGTAGCTGAGAAAATTTTCTATAAGAATGGTTATCGAACTGTTTCGCAGCGCAATATGGAAAAAGACTAGAAGGCACTGAGCAAAAAGTTGAGATTTCCCATAGTAATTTACATGCAAACTTCAAATGACTTGTGCGAAGTCTGTTTCTAACCAAATGAGTTGTAACTTTGGGAGGCTAATCAGGACCCAATTTGAAACCATTTAAGCACTGTGGAGCGAAAAAGTCAAATTTTGCATCAGTCTAATGAGCATCCATATGTCTATCCTCCGAATAATGGATGATGTTTATTTGAATATTGGCTGCACAGCACTCAGAGGACAACAATTTAAGGATCAATGGTTTAGATTATAGTTGAAATTCGATTGTTTACATTTCCATATTTAATAGCCATGAACAGTCATTCATCATGGATTCAAAAATCATTTGGTGGTAGAGGAAATTTCCTCCACCACGAAATAGACAGTCTTCGGTTTCCACGGTTTAACAATGTTCGTACCACCTCTGATAGCGATGGCTATGCTTCCACCTCGTGTTTCTGCTCTGATCTGACGTTTGATAGAATCATTTACGCCATCGTACCATATGCATTTCAATTTAAGATGATAATCATTCTGCAGAAAGCATTACGCATTTCAACTGAAGACCTCATTTGAGTACCTGAGTTGCTCAGAGTTATTCTGGTTTACTCTGGCATCTGATCTAATTTGTGACGAAACCAGAATTAGTAGGGCATATCGTTTTAGAATCTGAACATTCAAATTACAGTTCGACAACGAAATGTAAACAACAAAAGAAGGAAGGCAATGGATGCAAAATTTAAATTAAGGATATGATATGGTTTTCTACCAGTCGATTGAAGTGTTGGCTATGTTTGGCTTTCTGCAGGACACTTTTCGCTTTGCAATGGTAATGAAATTGACCAGGATTTTAGGAAAACTATCATTAGGTTTAATGATATACAAGGAAGTACCATTCAGACTAACGAAACCGTTGTCAAAAACGAAATCTCTCTACTCCTTTAATCTTTGTTTTATCCACTTTCTAATATAATAATTTCTTAGGAACGACCACTGCTCTTTCTTTTTTTAAATTTCAAATTCACCTTCAATTTCAAATTTCCTCAACCACATCCAGGAAATTACAAATCAACTGAATGATTCAACCGGTGGAGCCGATGGTAAACCATCGACCGGTGATTCCAACATTCAAGACTCGAACAACCCGATGAATGTTGGCTTCGATGCGCTGCAGCCTAACATGGCACAACATCAGCAACAAGCAGGCAGCTCGGATGCATCCGGGAATGCCGCAGCTTTCAGTGCCCTAGAAGTGAAAGATCCAAAAGAAGCTGGCAAGCTGCACGCCAACAAGGAACTGAAGGAAGAAATGGATCTCGATTTTGAAGAAATCTCCGACGGCGAATTGGAGGAGGAGAATAAATTCAAAGGTACATCAACAGGCTTCACAGGGTGTTACTTACATTAAAATACAACTTATGAACATCTTCATTACAGGACTGGGCGATGCACTCGGTGTAGATTGGGCCAGCTTGGCACAGGAAACCCGTGCCAAGTTGAAACCGGAGCAAACCATTCCAGTTTCGGCCCGTAATCGTTGGAAGGCACATCACATTCTCTTGGACATTGGTATCTCGGTGCGGTTAGCCGGTGAGGCTTATGCTCAGCGTGTACTCACGGAATCTAAGGAAAAACTACGGGAAGAGATAGAGGAATTCAAGGCAGCTGCCGAGCAGCAGAAAGTTGCTGCTGTTAAAAAAGAGGAAGAAGAACAACTCTTCAATGGAGTGAAAATAAAGAAGGAAATTCTCGATGAAGAAGAACGGAAGGAACAGCAAACGGATGAATCTGCCGTTAAAAAAGAAGACTCGAATGAGAATAACGAAGTTTCCGAGCAGGAAGCCAATCTGGCCGATATAGACAAAATTCTCCATCCGGTAGCATCGGTGCATGTGGCTATGCGGGAACGTGCTCGTGCAAGACGTAACCTCATACTTTGCGCTGCCGGACCCCATAGTCGTGCGCTAAGTGCCCGACGTGATTTGGAAATTCGCCGCCAGTTGTGTGGTTTTCCTCCACAGGAATGTAACGAACGCATTACAGAACACCAGTCAACCCCTACCAATCCAGAGCTACACGAAACGGTAATGAAACTGTACCAGGCAACCATGCAGCAGAAAAAAATCGAAGTGCAGTAAATTTATTTGAACAGTTTTAGTTCCGTTTTAGTTCTATGGCAGAAGAGGTCTCTCTTGTCAACAGATAATTTATAGGAATAATGATGTCTACGTAGTATTGTATGTTTCCCTAGGCTTAAGCAGATATAGAAAAAACCCTCTTTATTTTGCACTACTCTACTAACTAAACAGCAATGTATCGTGTTGGTCCATAAAAAGAACTTTTTCTTTCTGTTGTGTATTTAAACCTAACACGCACGTAGGTTCTGAATAAAGTAATAAAATTTTATCATGCGGTACAACATTCGAGTGCGTTTTTTTTTAATCGAATTTTTATGACAAAAGAACCAATGGATACGTACCGGTCTAATCAGCGTTTTGTAGATAGTCAACTTCTTGCTGCGGCGAACTTTATCTTCCAAAGTGAGCACGATTATCTGCAATTGATCTCTCTACTGGTGTCATTATCGGCGGTCAGTTCGGAACTCGTGAAGAGAGTCTATAACATATAGTCTCGTTTTCGTTCGAAACTTTTTCTATAGAGTAAATCGCAAAAGTACGCACTGGTTCGAAAGCCAGGTAAAAAAATGATGGACCAATGATTATGAGTAGAATTGAAGCCTCACCTGAATACAAGCTTACTAGAAAAAACTTCATATATTTTGAATAATCCACCTAATTTAAAAGGTTATCACCAGAAGTATGTAGTATTTTTTTTGATTTTTGAATTTTGATATAAAATAACATTTTAAATTGGCTCACAACTTGACTAGCCTATTGGTCCCAAGTACATCTATAAGCGTACCCCATTCTAGTCGAAATTCTAGTACTACACTATGTTTGTTTTGATTCGCTATGAAAGTTTTAAATAAATTGAGTGGTTCGTGGATTTTCCTATATTTCGAGGGGTGTATCGATTAGCTTGGGACCGAAGAGCCAAAAAGTTGAGCTCGTTTCTTCGGGACCTTCTGATCTTAACTCTATGGTATTATTATATCATGGATGAAGATTATAACGTAAATATTCCAGTATTATGATTGATCTATATGGTATGTACCAACAGACGTTATAGGAAATTGATTGATTAATTTCTTTATTATAGAGACTTTAAGCCATCGGCTGGTTCGTCTTTGACGTAGGAAAGACGTCATTTATGGGAGACCCTTTTCATTATTGACTTCGAGTGGGGCAAGAGTACGAATGGCTTAGAAATTATGCTAGAACCTGTATTAAATCTTTAACTAGTAGAACTTTTTGCAATAAAATTACCGAACATAATAATTACATTAAATTTGTATGATTTTATGTTAATTTACACCACTAAAAATCACTAACTTTCAACACTTGATCAAAGAAAACAGATGAGGTCATACACATAATATGCGCTTAAATATGACGAACTAAGGTCCAATTTTGATTTGTTATTGATTTAGAAAGCATTAATTCGATTATAATAGTCGTTTGTGAAACATTTAATAAAATGCGCACCATGGTCCCACCAGTACGCAGTCGGCACCCTTTTACTTAATCAACAATATAAGAAAAATGCCATGATTTTTCAAATAGCTATCCATAAGGAATTGTGGTTAAATAGTCAAGGAATCGACTCACGGGTATAAACTAAAATTTGATGAAGAGCTTTGAGTGGGTTGGTTTATTTCCTTTAAATTCCGTTATAATTGCTTATCTTTTGACAGATACGCGTATTTCGTCAACTACTTGCAGACTTCATCAGTGCCAGGTAGTGGTGTTGAGTACTTGGAACTGATGAAGTCTGCAAGTAGTAGACGAGATACGCGTATCTATCAAAAGATAAGCAATTATAACGGAATTTAAAGGAAATAAATCAACCCACTCAAAGCTTTTCATAAAGGGATTCCGTTAAGAGGTTCGACAAAATTTGATGATACCATAAAAAAATGGGAGCGGGACATACATTTCGTCGAAGGTCGTTTCGCCGAATGGCAGGGCTGGTAGCGAGTCACTTTTTAGCAACTCCCTGGCAACTTGACAACTTCAGTATATTTCCAGTGTACCCCGACAATTTGGTGCTGGTGGTTCTGTCAAACTCACAAATTTCAGAAGTGTTATCTGAATAGGGCGAATTCGGAAATGATGTACAGTAAATAAAAATAAAATTTAAAATTCATCTTATTTTCGCGCGTCCACCGGTTTGGACACGTGACGTCCGATGTAAAAATTAACATTAGCAACATACGAACTACAGTGATGCCAGCGAGAAATGTCGTTATGATTCTCAGTAGTACATAATCAATACAATACGTAATCAGTATATGAAACATTTTTTGTTTAATTTGGTGTAGCGTTTGTATTTGAGCAGTTCATAACGAAAAGCTTACACAAATGATTTGAATTTTTTTTTTTTGAAATTTCTTGCGACAACGGATCTTTGCAAAAATATATACAAAAATCGTCAGAACTCAATTTTAGCTGATATTCTTGAAAATTCTGGTTAACATCCTCTTCACTTATATGATCAGTGCATTTTATAGGGTTTTTCATGGTATTTGTGTTGTCATTGTCACTATGCCCATAACTGTGTAACTAAAAAATAGAACATACCAGCTTATGGATTCATCTGTTTCTTGAGGCTTCAAGATTAGTGAGGAATAAGGTTGATGATACGGATGGTTGGAACAAAAGGCAATGATTTAAATTTATTCGTTTTAGAAGCTCATTGTAAAATTTTTTTGTGAGACCCTTATTTGATTTAGTTTATATCATTTTATTTATTTCTTCAATTTTAAATGGATGTACAAATTGCTCGTCTTCATCCAGCAAATCTGCTACTCACCGCGAAACAAAATCAATTTTGTAAGTTTTTTACGGATAGAATTCTTAGTGCCTCCCATGTTTTTGGCATATTCCTCTAGCCGTAGTTTTAAATAAAAATCAATGCACAATTTTATCAAGGTATTGCTATGATTGTTTACTGCATCTTGCTCCAAAATATGTCCTGATAGTTGCAAAAAAAACATGTTGATGAATGTTACAGATGCTTATTAGGATTCTGTTTTCAAGCCGTTCGTAATATTTCCCCACGTTGAAATTTTTGTGGTGATCAATGAGTAGTTTTAGTTCAGTTTCAGAAATCTTGCATATCAGAAGAACATCTTTGTTTACTTCAATTTCCGAGTTTCCTATTAGTTCATGCAAACACTGCTCACATTTCAGTTTTACAATTAGCTGCTTTTGGACGTGTGTTGCCGAATATGTCAACGAATGTGTTAAGAAATCGTCCTCTACTGAAGCGAAAGCAAGCATTTCATCAATCGGAGCAGGAATATTGTCGTCATCATTTCGGTCATCATTAGGTTCACTGGTCATTGAATTCTTCATTGATTCAAGGTAGAACAATGATTTTTCCTCAGCATGCAGCATTTTCACCTCATCGAAATTTCGGCAATTAGCAAACGCCGAGGAAGTAACATTATTATGAACGATAATTCTTTTATATGCAGCCTTAAACTGCCCCGTGGTTGGATTATTGTTGTTGCCACCTTTCACTCGGATGGCCGCAAAGAAAGTTTCCAAGTGATCTTGGCTGCACCTATAGCATGGTATTTCATCCAGCTCATTTAGTTGCTCCACATGTCGGTCATACATATCTATGAAGCTTTGTATCGCGACAAGGAATCCAATGAATCCCGTTTTGTTGATCGTATCAATAATATTGGTCCAAATTTTCCTCCCTTTCTTTTCCTGTTGCACTTGAAGTTTGGATATATAATCAACTGCAATTTTGAAGCATTCTCGATATTGATTGATGTTTTCTGGATTCATTGGCCGCTTGAAGCCATTAGCGTGTTGATGTTTACTGTTGAAGATGTCAAATAAATCGTTAATTAATTCAACGCATTTAATGGTTTCATCGCAGTCCTGAAATTCTTTCTTGTTTGATTTCAATTTCCGTAATGCATCTGCCACACTTCGACTTAGAGTTTGAGCCGCTAAGTCTACTCGCATCTTCTCATTGTGGAAGTTGATGTGTTTATCCGTAAGCTTACCAATCTTCAATCCACTCAAATTCTGGAATTCGTTCAGTAACGCGATATATCCATAGAGTTAACTCTAAGACCACTGGGTCCCGAATAAAATCATTATTATTTTTGGCTCACTCAGTACCAGAACAACGGTCCCAAGCAGTCCCAAGCTATTTCACTCACCCCTGCATGTTCTGCATGAATCCACACACCCCTGATGTTATCTGTCAAACTTTCATAGCGAATCAAAACAAACATAGTGTAGTAATAGAATTTCAACTAGAATAGGGTACGTTAATCGTTTGCTTGGGACCAATAGGCTACTAAAGTGGTGAGCCAATTTAAAATCGTTAGTTTCGTATTGATCGTTGATATATCTCCACTCAATCAAATTCGACCCAGCCTTCAAAGATTCTTTGGCTGAGAGCGTATTGCGGAAAAGTTTCAACATGTGACAAATATCCATTATTACGTACACCGGCTCATTAGTACATGGATGGTCATAGTTGGTTTTGAAGTTTTCATCAAATTTAAGCGAGGGATTTGGCGGTGCTGATATTAGTATTTAAGCCATCAAATGTGAAGGCAATAACGGTAATACCAATTTCATGAAGACTTGTCAAAATGTTTTCAATTAGACTACTTTTCTGTTCAGTATTCAACGAGTCCGTGAAAAAGTAGGCCACAAGAATTTTAAACTTTTGCTTGATACCAGTAACCATGAATACGATTGCATCCTATGCCATTGGTAACTCGTCTGTCCCGTCTGGTAGATACCCAGCAAACTGGACAGTTCCTTCAAACTTCTTCGTCCGGTGATTCCACTCAATTTGCCGTCTTATCGAAACCTCGTCCATCATAAGGTAGACCAATGTACGTTCACCTGTTGCTTTTTGTTCGTGAGCTAATATCTGCAATGCAGCCATTGATTCTGACGTGATGCCTGGCTCACCATCAATAGAATGATACCATCTTGTAATGGTCCTTGGATGAGGCAAACGATTTTCAAAGGATTGCC